TATACAAGCTATGTCATGTACATGTAACTGGTGCTACATCTGATCACTGAGAATGTATATTATTCAATATATTTAAAATGGTCTATTACGGGAGATCAAGAAAAACACATCAGGTCTCCAAACGGACTTGTACAAGAAGCCCTCTTGATCTTCAGGAAGTAGGTGAGGGTTTTCTTTCTTCAGGTGACCCAAAGGTGACATTGTCACGGGGTACATCAATTACACTCCCTGAAATCATCCAGTCTGGGTGTCCAGTGGACATCTCTAAGTAGTCTATAGGCTATAGGGTAGTCCAGCCAGGACACCCCCGGTCCAGGGTGATCCTGGTACACTCTCTGAAATCATCCATGGGCCTGGCCGAGGATAGAAGTTCGGCCCCGAAGACTCGACTTGGATGACCTTGTAATGAAAGAAAACCAAACAAATGGTGCTTTTCCTCGCAACCATGATGATTTCAGGGAGTGTAAATGCCTGGAATCCTCTTCCAGCATCTTACTGAGCAGATTTGGTCAATAAAGCCTTCCTGGCCAAACGGCTGGGTTCACCCAGAACCTTGAAACGCCGAACCTTCCAGCTGGACTGAAGATCACTTTCTACCTGCTTCCAGCATGGCGTGTTCCAAGGCTTTTCACATGCTGAACATCCCGCTGCCGTGAACTCAGGAGCCCTGCTCCAAAGCATCCACACGCTGCCGTGCATCATCTGCGAAACCGGGCGTCTCCCGTGGTGTCGGCTTGGGCGTGTCGAACAGATCTTCAAGGGAGGACCTCCCAGCCTTTTTGGTTTTGGGGTCGATGTTCTTCTTATGTCCCGTCTTCTAAAGGGTCGTTGCCAGAAAAGGTCTCTCATCCTTTACACACCCATCATGGAATCCTTTGGCACCATTTAGAGACTCGTGTTCTGAAGCAAACAGGTGTTCGGAAAGTGGCAGGCCCTACGACTCTTTGTACCACCTCAAAGACCACATCTGAATCAAACCATTTTTGTGAGTTTGAAGGTCAGTTTAACCTGACAGATCCACAAAGAGGTCAGCATCCCATGAGGCCGACAAGAGGCTCAATGCCTGTGCACATCCCGATGCTTATGCCACTCGACATGAGGCGCCTATCTCAACTCGTAAGGGCTGTGCCACGTCACGCCACCTTCCGTATCGCAAGGTATCGCAAGGGTCTGAAGGTATCGCAAGGTCAACACGGCCATGGAATGCTACCACTCAAGTCACTCAGTGCAACAATGAGTTTAAACAATTGTTGATACATTTACATGTTAATACTATAATATACTATAATAGACTATCAATGAATATAATGGTTACTATGAGAGATCCCCCAGCACCCTGGACCCTGCTTGTGGTGCAGGGACCTATTTACTTCGTGTCAGTTGAGTGCACCGCACCTGGTAGGCCCCAAACGTATGATTCGTTCGGTGGGGTTCCCCAGGTGCTGGTTATGAAAGCCAGGCACTCCATGTATGGAATAGTTACATTGATGATAACTGATATTTCATGCACCAATACATGCATTTACATGCCCTACCTTGACCCCTTTTCAACCACCCTCCTAGACAGCTGGCGCTCGTGTTCTATCTTCCGGTACAAACCGGAAAGGGAAGGGACCCCGGCCGTAGCTCACGGACCGCCTGGACGCCGCTTCCTCGAAGAGCTCACCACGAATGAGCTGCAATTGCCGGGCGACCTGCCGGGGCCGACGGAGGTGGCGTCCGTGCGCACGAGGGTGGGAGACGTAGAGCCGGGCCGCGCGGATGGATGTGCCATGGTACTCCACTCATGCTTGCGCCACAGCTGCAAGCCACATGGGATCTGTAAAACGATCACACTCTGATCCCAGCTTTGCTCAATTCAGCTGTGCATGGTCTGTAGGGATGCGACCCTTCGAAACACTCGAGGTCGACAGGAACAGACTGGCGAGGTCGAGCGAACAGTGGGTCAAAGCATGGGCACCCTATAGTTTTGCCCACCAAAAATGAACATCGATGACCAAACATGGTCAACTTACCACGGATTGGAGCTCCAGGTGTTGACCCACTGCCATTTCCTTTCAATACATTGCTGTTGCCATTTCCTTTCAATACATTGCTGTTGCCCGTGCCACAACGAGCTGTCTCGGTGGATGACGTTTTTTTTTTGGCGACAGCAACCAAAGAGTCCCTCCGTCCAAGGCGTCCGCGGCGGTTGAACCACTCTCGTGGACGTTGCAGGGGACACCCCAGGCACACGTTGCGTGGACGGTGGAGGATGGTGGAGGAGCCGGGGCTGAGGAGTACTGTTTTATTTGTTTTGCCACCGACCGAGCAAACGGCTCAAGATCACTGCAAATCTTTTTCAATTTTGGGACGCGTTTCTGTCGCGACCACGATTTCACGGCGGTGCCTCTAAGGGAAGCATCTCCAAGGGCTTCTGGAAGAGCTGCTCCAGCCTCTCATGGGCCATGCATGGGCGACCATCAGGTTCCGGTCAGACCAAACTGGTTGTCCACGTAACGATGATTCCAGGGAGTGTGATCATCCCAACTGCCACTTCCATGTCAACACCTCATTTAAAAGCTTCACATCAAGAAAGGCCTTTGATTGGCTTCACGCACTGTGTTTCAGAGCCATGAGCAACACATCATGCTGGGGTTCACCAGCATTCTCCAGCAACAAGCAAAGCAAATCCGCGGGAAGAACCTGGTGTCCAATGACGCAACCACATACGCAAGGACGCTCCGCAACCGCATGCTGCCAAGACATGCTGCCGCAGCATGAAAGGAAGCCATCCCCAGAAACACCGCAGTGCCAAAAAAAAGAACCGAGTGCCCCGCGCCCGGTGATGCGGGACTCCAACCAGCTGAGCTGCCGCTCGAAAGTCCCGGGAGCCGTGGTCGGAGAGCCATCCTGATGCCCAGTTCTTCAAGGGGGGTCAAAACCGAGAAAACCATCGAAAAGCAGGAATGCAAGGAGCCGTTTTCTGTTTGAAGGTTCAGTCCTGGACAGGGTCATAGAATCCATGGTAACAGGCCTACCACTACAGCAGTAGGGGCTCTGTACGTATGGAAATATGGTTCCGGAGATGACCTGCAACCGCCTCCAAAGGACCGATTTCTTAGCTGATAACCTTGGTGCAAATGGCTAAGCCTCGGCCCGTTCGGCATGCTGGGTGAGTCTTCCACTTTTCTCATCACATCAATTCCGGCGGAGTCCATGTCTTGGTTCCAAAAAAAGGAGCAAACGTCACCCCATGTCGGTCGGGCCCTGCAGGCCCTCATGTCGGTCGCCTTTGGAGTCGATTGCCGCTGAAGGGAGCCCACCGAGCGTTCAAGAGCCGACAGCCGGAGCCTGGGCCGAGTCCAGCGACAGTACTGAACCAAAATGGACCAAAGCAGCAGGAACGAAGCAATGGATGGAAGGCTTCGCACTCTTTGGCCATTGGACATGGGCATCCCATTCTCGGAAAACCCCACTTGGGTATCCTTGGGTGGATTCAGAGAACCAGCTCAGCTTTGGGTCGTCTTGTCTTTCTCTTTCAACATCCAAGTTCAACTATCGAAGCTAATAGCAATTGCCTCCAATGTAGCGACGCGATGGCCTCCAACCACATACTGTAATGACCTCCGACCTAAGAGCGATGGCCTCCACCCTAGAAGCGATGGTCTCCAACCTACATAGCGTGTCTATGTTGAACTATTGTGGCTCGAGTAAGTCTTAATGTGGACTCCAACCCCCACAGCCGGCCACCGTCGCGGCCTTAGCTCCTCTGCGTGCTGCCGCTGCGCCGTGGCCAGCTGCTCCTCTACAACTCCTGGTCTTGGAAGCAATGAACACCTGTGGATCCACAGTTCATGTATCAAAATTACACAAGTTGCACTTGTTATCACTTGTTGCTAGGCAAGTGCTAGCCTATAGATTCTTGTCCACTCACTGACTACATGATCAGGTAGACGTGATCCCGCAATCCTCAATTGAAATCCAGACCCTCATTGGGAGGAAACCCACCGTTCCTTTCTTACATCCTTTTAAGTGGCATTGCTCGTTAACATGGATTCATATTGGCCTCCATAGAACAGTGGATCGATGCAACCTTGAAGCACATCTGAGCCGAACCCAATTCCAGCCAAAACCAAAACTTGAAAGCTTGTAGCCCCCAGTAGCTTCTTGTTCCTAGTAGTAAGGCCAGGAGCCCCGTTCGTAGCGTCCGATCGCTCCGTTCGTAGCGAGGCCAGGAGCCCCGATCGTAGCTTCTTGCATCCAGTTGAAAGGGCTAATTGTTCTTTTGTTCGGAAGGAAACACGATCTGCAAGAGGAATTTGCTGGTCGACGACGTTTTGGGAGTGCATCAGTCACCGTATTGCGTCCATCGGGTCCATTGACCCACAGAATCAACACTCACACTGCACGGGGGGCACTCTAATGTAGGAACAAATCCCGAACCCATCAACATCCAATATGTATCCATCCTGCTAGTTTCGTCATTGTTTAATGCTTTTTGATTGGTGATCGAGAGTCTTGAAGTCTTCGAGAGCCTGGAACTCTTCAATGTGTTTAAACCATCCATAGTCCATAGTGTGAAGATGTGTGAAGCCTGTGTTGCCAAGTCTACCCGGATCTATATAGTTACTTTGTTTCGTCTAGTCTATCAAGGCTTTGGGTGTCACATCTCTTATGACAAGCAATGCTCCTGTGGCGCGGCGCGCCGCTTGTCGAAGGCCAGCTTCCACCTGAGGGCTTCCACGAGCGAAGCAGCGACCAAACGAGCATTCCACACGGAACGGGTTTGGCTTTGTCAAGGTCCTCAGGTCTTCCCAACACAACGATAACGACATAGCTGCAACCTCTTTCAGCAGGACGCGACGATGCCCCGACGCCCCTGCAAAACCCACACCAGGTGGAGTGGGATGGGGGATCTTTGATGCGCTTTCCTGTCTCAAAGTGGATTGCGCGTTTCTTTCCAAAGTGCCTGGCCCGCGATGCGGGTTTCCAAGTCAATGCGCCGCTGGATTTCCTGTGACAAGGCCTCAAGGAGCAGGGCGGAGCGGCAAAAAACGCGCACTGGATGTGTTCAGCACATGTGAGTGGACAAGACCCATGGTTATAGGAACCTATTCGGGATGGTGGTCAGCCCTAATGGTCGAAGTCCTCCTTTTTTGGGGGTGCTTTTGGTGATCTCTGGTCTCTCAACTTGGCGTTCATCGGAACATGCTGCTTGAGCCACGACCTCTTGGAAGAGTTCATCATTCAAAGCAGGGCGACCACGGCTGGTCCAACATCGTCGTCGTGACCAGTTGGCGTGACCACTTGGCAGGCCAAGGACCTGACATCCATTGACCCGCATCCCTAAGCCGCTTAGCCTAAGCCTATAGTCAAGTCAGTTGAAAGTCGACTATTTGTTGTTGAAAGTCCATTTCCAGCAAACGCGCTCAGGATCTCAAGGGTGAGAGCCGGGGTCTCACCGTCACAGAACACCAAGCCCGTCGTCGTCGTGCCTGCTCAATGGCAGCTAGAGTTAACTCGATGGCAGGCATCAAAGCTGCGGCGCAGTCGACATGGCCATGGCTGATGTCATCCCATGAGCACGGGTGCTCATGTACCCTATATACTGTAACGTCTGTTGAAAAAGTTAACCTCGAAAAGTTATTGGTCACACATTTAGGTTGAAATCAACATGCGCCCCTCCCCTGAGTACATCCTCCTGCAGTTTGCAATATTTTGCAATGAGCTACCAGCCACCTTAGCCGCAGCTCTCTCCATGCTGTACAATTCTGCCCACTCAATGAATTGAAATTGATTGAATAATTAGTTAGTTGGTTCACGTTGCTTCGTTCAACGCTTGAGCCGATGCGAGGGCTGCGGTCTTTCCGACCCGGAATCCCCGCTGTCAGCGAAGGTCTGAACTTAGATCAACTAGGCCTCCTGCCTGCACATCCTTCCACTCCGCTGTGCTTCAAGAGAGCAGCTTCAATGGAAAGCATCTGGTAAATATGTTTCGCCTTAGACTTGTACTTCCTTTTTGCTTCCATTCCAAACGAGTCTTTCAGTGATGGTCTCTGTTGCAGATGGTAGATGTAAATGCCATCCCCCAATTCTGCAGCCCACTTTGTGAGCCGAGAGGCACCGACCGTGTAAAGCTTCACGTTCGTCGGTGCTGAACCATAGGAGTATTGCGACCGGGTTCGTGCAAGTGTTTCGATATGTTTCTATGACTAGGATTCCGATCTGCACCAAGTACGACCAATTTAAATCGTCATGAATGAGGGGCTTTCCACTTGAGAACCCAGAGGAGAGCACCTCGTTTTGGGGGCTCCATCGGGACAGGTCTGGACTTCAACACTTAAAAAAGTGTGAAGGTCGTCCACCGTCTGTCCACTTTTTCACTGTGACAGCTGCTTTTGAAGCCAGCCTTTAGGAAAATGCTAGGCACAGTAATGCACCATCATGTACCACTTGAAAAGGCTGAAGGATAGTTGAAGCAAAACTACGTCGGCTGTGGTGTAAAAGCGCCAGCTTGTTTCTATCTATCCACCACCACTCTGTCGACTTTCACCAAATGGTACGTACTGCTCAAGATGCACTGCCACAGCACGCGCTGCGGCCAAATTCGCTTGTTGCAAATCTCAAAGTAAATCGAGCAACGTAATTTTTGCGATAGAAAACAATACTCACATCTTTGACAACCCAGAAAAGCTATAGCACCCGGCCTTGATTCTGTTAGGACATCTAGTAAGCAAGACAAACAGCAGCTCTTTCAAAACAACATGGCCATGGCCAGAAACGAAATCGATTACCCCTCTGGTCAAGGGACAAACACAACTAAGTCTGATGATCAGAATACCATGTTTGGAACCGTTTCGGGCCACAGCCACATCAAACCGGTCGACCGCGTTGGTCTGGAAATGGTCCAAACACGCAGTGCCACAGGGGTGTGCCCCATTAGTGGGCTCGTGAAGGGCCGCCCGAAGGGTTTTCCCAGGGCTCGGTTCTTCAAACTGCCCGAATTTTCTTCACTTCAGGGCTGCAAGGCGAATCCGTAGCATCCTGGCGGCTGGCAGTTGGAGCTAGGACAAGCAGTTCCCGGGCAAGCCGGCGGCGGAAGTTTCCTATAAGAACAAGTTGACCTATAGGAGTGTCCACGTTCTCTCCAACATGCGCGTCCTCCAGTCAAACGCACGCGCTCCGGACTTTTGACCCACGGGATTCCACGTGTGTAGGGTGTGTGCCCCCTGCAGGATCAGTGTGTATGATGAGTGGTGTATTGACCAGCAGTTGAATGTCCTGTCCTGCATAAATGCAACCAAATACTATCAGTATGAACTGTGCCAAACCTGCACGCCGCGAGAGATGACTCAGCAGCGAGGGATGACTGAGTCGCGAGAGATGACTCAGCCGCGAGAGATGGCTATAGCGAGAGCTGACTCAGCAGCGAGAGATGAATGAGCAGCGAGAGATGACTCAGTCGCGAGAGATGACTCAGCAGCGAGAGATGACTCCTCCGCGTACTACACTTGTACTACAAAGTGGCCAGTTCTCAGCTTCCAGCTCCACAGGTTGTTCCGCGTGCTAAAGTTGTACTAGAAAGTCGCCAGTCAGTTCTCATCTTCCAGCTCTACAGATTGCTCCGCGTACTGCAGTTGTACTACACAGTCGCCAGTTCTCAGCTTCTAGCTGCACAGATTGCTCCGCGGACTAAAGTTGTACTACAAAGTCGCCAGTTCTCAGCTTCCAGCTCTACAGATTGCTCCGCGTAC